TTCTGATACAAGAATTGGACATGGACATTCGTACTGTCGTAGGATGTCAGCATTCTTTTAGTTCGGCATTTATATGAATGACATTGAAATTCCTTGGGACATCAGAGAATTGATTCGAGATCGTGTCTGCCAGTGAAGGAACACTAACGAAACTAGCATCCGATAGATACCGAAAAAAAATTTACTAAAATTCTTCAATTTATCCGTGATTTATAATAATAAATAGATTAATAAAAGAAAAGTTTGCTTAATGTAGGATCATAGAACTAATTCAAGATTGCGACCCAAATAACACTTAATAATATTTTTGATTGAAAATTAAAACACAAGTTTAGAAATAAATAGAAAGTAGAAAATTATAATGCTAAAAGGCTGGTATCCAAATCATGTGAAATCTATTAAAAGATATGAACTGATAATATAGTTCGTATTCCAACAGAAAAATAGCATATTATGTACAAAGCTTACATCTAGACGATACAAATATTTTGCTAAATATAAAATTTGCTTCTAACTAAATGTACCTGTGATCCTAACCTTTAACATTTTTGTTTCTGTCGGAAATCCCCTCGGATACAACCCACCGGTGGCTATGTCGGACTCGAACTGACTAAAAACCGCAAGCCGTCATATTAGCCGGGGAACCAGCTGTACCCTAGAAAGGAAATCCCTGGTACCCCGACGTACCTCGGGCCATCTACAGCGGATAGATGACCCCTTCCTGTGTGGGAACCCCATCTTTCCTTAGTGCTCTGTAAAGAGCACGCGTGCTCCGCAGCGCGTCTCGCCGCCACCCCGCCCGATGGCCATCATCAGGTGATCCCCGAAGCATCCTTTTCCAGTGATCACCTGCGTCAACCGGTATGAGAGGATCCCGTGATGCCTCTCGAGCCAATCCTCCATAACGGGTCTTAAAGTCGCGATGATGGCGTGCCCGTCTGACCTTTAGAAGCGAAACCCCAATCATTAATGAATGTTCAATTATTCAAGTCCGTGGGATCATTACGTGGTTTGTGACAACTGTTGAGGGCCGTGACTGAAATAAGTATGACAAATATGCTGATGCTATCTGGACGTCGCCGTCGCGGCGAGGTAAGCACCGTGTTTAACATCATTAATCAAACTTTGATTAAGGCGTGCAGGACAGGACATCATAACAGGACCGAGCCGGTGGGAAACGACGCAGTATATTGGCTTTACAATAAATTAAGTATGACCTAAACGTCCTTCCTAACGAAATTTAAATGTCTAACTGGTTACTTAAATATTTCTGACTGATCAATCATAACATCAAGAGTTAACACATTTTAAAATTTTAATTTTTTTGGTAACCGTAGCTAAGCAGTATTTTCTATGATCAATATTTATATTCTTCAAACTATAATAAATTAAGTTTATGCAAAAGAATTTATCAACTTAGTAAGCGACATCAGGCATCTTACAGTAGGCATGCTACATAGGCCACTGAGAACAAAATCAATAAGTTATTATAAAACTCTGACATAAGAACGATCAAGTGCAAGTTGAATTCGGGTGGAGAGGCTTGGAATCGAATCTGTCAGGTTAAGTGACAAGAACAGAAGAAAATGTCTACTTTAGCTTAGTTTTATATCTACTTCCCTACTAATATTATTAATGCGAAAGTAACTCTGTCTGTCTGTCTGTTACGCTTTCACGGCCAAACCGCTCAACCGATTTTGATGAAATTTGGCATGGAGATACTTTCATTCGACACTTTGACGGCACTACCATTGCCTAACTTAGGTAGTTATCTAATTGGACAATACCACTATCAGATAAGCTAGTAACCTTCCTCTAGGTGTCATTTATTTCTGAGGTCGATCAGTAAGGTGGTACCGTTTTAATATCAAAGTTGAAAGAGGGAGATATGAATTTCAGATATTAAAAATTAATATATTCACCCGCAAACAGATTCAATTGCATAGTTTGACTCGGTGAACTTCCACACAAAAAAGAAGAACAGAAACAGGAAATAGAGTATCGATTTTGATAACGATAACCAGCAGCTAATGAGGACTCGTTGAACCCAAACCTAAAGATTATACTCATTGAGGATTACTATTTATTACACTTGTTACACTCTTTAACTTCCCAATCTATATGTAGATCACAATCAGCCACCTATTCATCCCTTTTGAAAACCATCACTCATTATCCAAGATTAACTATAACTTGTAAGTAAGCAAGTACGTAAGTATAACTTGATCACCGGTTTACAAGAGGCGCTTGACGTGAAACTCGTCCATAGTCAAATGGCACATGTGCTCTTTCAGTTTGGATAAACTATTCTATTCACAAATAAGTTGAAAAACCACGGAGACCACCAGATGGCACCTTATAATATTTTGACAAAATCTCTGGAGTCTATATAGAGCGACTCGAGAGCCCTTATCACAACGTCATCCACCCCATACTTAGATGTAAAAAGACGCAAAAGATCTGCGAGAATAATTGGATTCACAAATTATGCAGTTTATGCAGTTTGTATTTCAGCTATCGGTTTTTCCATTTGAATTGAAATGGTCGTCATTTTTATTCAGACTCGATTTCTTTAATTTTCAGAACAACTGTAGAGTGTACAAGGAGACATTCCTTGGCGTCCATCAGCGCTGTTCCATTTCATCTTGATTACGCCCAAGGCCCCGGACCCAAAATACGAACATTGTGAGGGGACATATTACAACATTGAAAAATATGTAACTATTACATAGACTTCCACAAACTGAAATAGGTAGTTAAATGTATTTTACCTTAAAAATCCAACAGAAAAACGTTTCTCAAACACAATACCCAAATCGAAAAGTGAAACTTAGTTAATCAAGAAAAAATAAATAAAATATAGAACAGTTTTGAAAGGTTTACAATTGCGTATTTTATTTGTTTACACGCGCTTCGCGTTGCACACCATTTATAGTTACATTTCTTCAGATAAACTCAATATCGAATGTGTGCAAACAAAACGTTACTTAGTAACTGATGACGGCTACCTTTAATAACCTGGTTTTCAAATTATATACCTTAAATATTTTTTATAATTTTAAATATGTAAATAAAATAGTCAAAGGCATATTGTAGACGCATTTTTACGTTTCTCCTCCTCCTGTAAGATAACGTGTATTCAAATAGTTTGGCTTTCCTTTTATTTTTTCTCTATTTTAATATTTTTATACTTCATTAATCGAAAAAAATCGGCCAAGCGCATATGTAGAGTGGCCAAACTAAGAATGTATCCATTATGTATGTACAATGTTTTTGTCAATTCGAAGGAGTAGTACTAAAATTTATCTCGAACACATTGCCAGTGCAAAAGTCTCATCATCACCATCAATAGCGCTAAATAATTCACTGCTGGAAGTAGGCCTCTCTTTAGACAGAGGTTTTTGTACCTGTACCTACTGTACCTGTTCCTGTCTGGGAATACCTTCGTGTTCTGTAATTTAATTTGACTATTTTTAAATAAAAGGAATCTTGTACCCAAGGAGTATAATATCTTTCCAACAATAATCACAATTTAAAAACACACTCAACAATCTAATAAACTATACCACTAGGGGTGATACCCAGCGTTAGCAAATCGTGTACTTAGAAGTGAGAATCTGTGACAAAGCTGCTGCTCCTCCAGTGAGAAACCGGCAAACAGTTCACTCACACAAGTTGTGGTGGCTAAAAGACGCACTTTAAGTTCGCAAAACCCGTCACGTGCTGCGGTCATGTTACAATGAGAACGTAATTGTTGGCGTATCTAAGGAAGCAACATACCATGTTACAGTTTATTATCACTATTGTTAATTTATACTTAATTTTACGTACCTATTTAACATTGACGCATACTGAAATACTGTATTAAGCCATCATTCTGAGTCGAAAATCATTGCAATTTTCTCCCGGAAAATTAATTTATATAATTAGCTGTCAAAGGTTAAGGTCATTCCCCGTAGATATCGCACAAAATTAAACTATATTTGTATTCCGTGCAAACAGTCTACGCACATTAACACAAGATGGCGGCCGTGGGGGGAAGCCTTGCGCGCTTTGGCTGTTTGATTAATTACAGTTTTGTTTTTCTATGGGTTCAGGACGCATGTTATAAATGAAATCACTTCTTGACTTTTTGACTATTATATTCTCATATAATAAGAGTATTGCCTATACAGATTTTGACTAGGTAGTTGACAATGTCGCAAACAGCAGAGCAATAACTACCCAAGCATGTGCATAGTACTACGTGCCTAAGTGACGTGACATAATTTACTAATGTAGTGATGTTACAATTACATAGCAGTTTTTGACCGTATGCGGTATTTATTGAATTATTTTGGGTAAAATGTTCTGTTTATTCACTGGGATATCATTTTTCATCATTTTTAATCCAAAACATTGAAGAAAAATGATGAATGTTCCGGCAGAAAATTCCAATGATTTTCGTCTTAGAATGATGGTCTGAATACACTATTTCAGTATTCGTTACGACGTCCCTTACACCCTGTATAATATGGCATGCTTATTTTATTTCTGCAGATTTCTGTTCGGTGATAAAGCTAGGAAAATATTTGAAATTTACATCAAGTTCTATTCATTTGATATGTCACTCAGATATCGAATGTTGTTGTTCTTTACATTTAGAATAACGTGTAATAACAATAGTGTGAGACCTATCCAAGTAACCTATTACCGTTGAGAAGGAGAGTCAGACAGAGATACGTTAAGATAAATTGAATTCAAATCGAGGCAAGATGATCCAATTCGGATTCTGTCCCTGCAAGTGGTCTGATTACTCCTCCTTTTATCACAAATATTGCCTTTCGATATTAAAACCATTATGTATGTAGATGTATGTAGAATTAGATTAGAAGATGTAAGTAGTATGTAGAATTCTGTCATTAAAAGTCTTTTTTTCTTTACCTTTTTTTATATTGCCGGCGACTGTCTGTGTAAGCGCAAACATAGTTTAACAATAGTTTTAAATTGTTACGTTTATATTACAAATTGATGACGACGGTGAGATACGTGATGATACTCGACAATACCTGAAACACGTGACAAATTTTCTCATTATCATTTTTGGTACCAAATATAAGCTTTATCGATCAAAATTCATGTTTTAAAATAAAATGCCGAATCACTAATTTTCTCCGTTCCTAATACAAAGTTCTAAATTAATCTTGTCCATTATTTTGTCTAGTTTTAACTGTATGCAGCACCTTGCTGGTGTGCTTTTACTACTTACTTTTACAAGTGATTCAGTTCTCACTATCAAGGGCTGCACTAGCAGTATTATATATTTCGTAAGTTGTAGTAGTAGAAGTAACGGTTCATCCGTTGAAAGAAAGTCAGAAAGAGACACAACTTTATCTATAGGTTTGCAGGGATTTTCGTTACGTGAACCTTTAGGAGCATGTACAGTTTGGGAATATTCTTTATTCTTGGTTTGGTAAGGCCCGTAGTAAAAAAATTACGCCAGGAAAGGTATTCTGCCAATTTGATCATATTTGAATAGAAGTATACTCGACCATTCTTATTTCACAAACTCGATGTGCTAAATATTTAGACAATTGTTACTTAATTGTTGTTTAATTATAGAGTTTATAGTTATAGAGTTATATTTGTCAAATATAGAAGAGGATAGTTGTAGATCTAATGGAGGGAGTTTTGTTATAAAAGAACGGTGATTTTGTAATAAAGGCTGCCCTTTGTTAGCGTCGCGAAAGGTAAATGATCGGAGTTCTAAACATACAGCGAGTTTTAATTTATCAAATTATTGTTTGTGCTAATAATATCAAGTGAAATAATTGAGTTAATTTAATGTTTTTGTAGTATGATATCACAAAATATTAGTAAAGAATCTGGTAAAGACCACTATTAAAAGGAGATGTGGGAAATTGAAGACAGTATATAATGTAATACTCACCATAATTAAGATATTTCTATTAAATGTCATCAAGTTGAGGGGAGCAAAGCATACGGGGTTGAGCTGGATGTGTCTGTAAAACAATTTGAGTTTGTCCGAAACTTCTGCAGCTTCCCTGTGCGTGTGGCGCCTCATCTGGCGGATCAGTGTCTCCGTCATCCACAACTAGACGTAAATGTAACTGTTAACTACACTCAATATAATGTATTGTCAGCAACAAATGATATAAGTGTAACAATCACTCTGTGTATGTGTAACTATCCTTGTGTTGGAGATCTTAATTAATGCTAGGAACAGTGAACAAGACAAGTGTGAAAATTATAGTAATAAATAAGTTTGCAATTTTTAATAAATTTTTGCAACGTTTGAAATTATTTTCAATATATCTTTCAAATTAACGAAACGAAATTTTTGGAAAAATAAACTGACCTATCATTAAATATTTGTCGACCTCACATTTCGCTTTGTCAGTGTCTCTACAAAATATTATTAGTTAACACATTCAACTCTAAAAATTTATTTTAAAGATCTAGATATTAATGTGAACGGAATTGAGAATACTTTTTTTTTTTTTATCTTTTGTTTTGATGAAGTAACCCTACATACAGTAGCAGTACCTGCAGTGTATCAAGTACCTGGGTCAGTTAAACATCTCAATTGCGCTCACCTGGATATGACTACGGTGACAGGCGTCGACCGCCATCGCAAGCGTGCCAACACAGAGCAAAGACCATGCCAGTAAAGATAATGATCTGGCAATAGGGGCTGCGGTATTCATACGAACTAAAATAAAAAAAAAACACTTTTCGGTTCATAGTACATCTGCCATCACACTTCTATGAAAAGGGACTAGTTCAACGTCTCTCTGTACGAAATGTAACGAAATGTAGGGGCGCCTGGCTAATGCTGATTCTTCTTAAGAATGTAATCGTTTTTAGACATTGATAGAGAATAAGAGTAGTTTGAAGTAAAGAAAAGGAAGGAACTTGAATAACTTGCAGTAATGGGCAAAGTAGTAGCGTTTCCGTATATTTATTTATAATAACTTAATGCACAGGTGGACTTAATGCCGAGGGCATTCTCCGCCGGTCGACCTTCGAGTGCAAGAGAGAACTGGAAATTTTATTTATATATTTTTGAATTAATTAATTTAATGTAATTATAACTTAGATATAATATACATAAAAAAACTATTATATTCAGTACTACATATATTGTAGTACTGAATATAGTACTGTAAAGTAAAATCTCAATATTGAGATTAAGTCCTCAAAACTTTGACAGATTTTGCCATCTGTTAAACACAAGTGAACAGCACTAGATTATAATATGGTGTTTCCTATCTCTAAAGTACTTTAATTCTCTGTCTAAGATACTTTGAATTCTTTAGTTATAACAAAATTTAATGCTAATTACTATCATAGATAGGTACGCTTAGTAGAATAGTATCTTACATAATATAGCTACTGCGAAATATGGCGCAGTCAGCAAATATGTGCCTATAAACAGAAGCATCATCAGTAGCGCGAAGCCGTTGCTGTTATTCAACTGCCTTATCATCCCACACAAGGAAGAGTACATTTCGATCAATGTGTCAAATGTGGCGGGGTCGACTTTTGAACCTACAGCAGAGAAAGACAACTGTGTAACATTTGTTAAAAAAATATTTATAATGCAAGGTGAATTAAAAAGTTCTTGGAATTACGATAAAAATCTGAGAAAATTCAATACAAAATTAGGTACATAACAATATTTATGCAAAAGAACATTGATACAAAATTTCATGCTTATAGTACCAGTGGAATCAGCTATGCGTTGATGATTGATTAGTCAGTGAATCAGTTAGTTTCTTATTATGTATATTTATATAATTTATTACTTGCAAACGGTATTTGGAAACGTAAGTCTACAAAATTGGATGAACTTAAACAGTTAAAAACGATTAAGGTCAAAATAAGATTCTCGTGAAGGTTTTAGTTTAACCGTGGAGAGCCCGTGCTTCTGCAATAAAATATCACTACATAAAAAAAGATACAGTGAATGTGTGATCATCATCATCAACAACAGCCTTTAGTAGTCCACTGCTGTACATAGGTCTCTGCTTAGCGAATACAATGAAGAAACTCGAATCACTTAGGTAGGGCAGAGCCGAATAAGGGAGCAAACTACGCAGGACAATAGCACTGTAAAGCGATGGAAAACTTGACGGAAACCCTATACCAACCCGTCTGGCCAGCGTGGTATAGTAGGCCAAGCCCTCCTTTCTAAGGAAAGGCCTATGTCCAGCAGTAGATTATTAAAGTCTGGCCCAGCTTAACACACTCGCCAAAATGAAACCCAAGTTTCGAATCATCACTGAACATTATGACAGTGCCATCAAACGGAGCCCGTGGAAGAAGGGACCATTCAACCTTTGAAACCTTTCTTGGACTATCGATATTACTCATTTAAGTCTTTTAAGGATTCACCTAAGACTACGCCACTCCAACAACTAATCTGTTAAATTTTTTTGTGAATGATATAACAATTCTAAAATAATTTCTCCAATGGTGTACGAGGGAAGAAATACGTTATTCCAGATTGATTTATGAAGATTACAAAGAGCATAAGAGAAGGAACGTCACCTTGGGGCGCTCCAATTGATGCGTTTTGCTAGCAGATTAATAAATAATAATCGTCGATACAATACGATTTTTAGCAAAAGAATTACCGTTAGATAATTGTTAAGTGATCTAAAAGTAAGTTTAGTAAACCGAACAAAGTACTTGTAATCCACAAGTATATAATAAGTGCCTATTATAGACGTTCTAAATTTTTCACTCTAACATGTGGGAAAAGGGTAAATACATGCCCTTTTGCTGTTTATAAATTCAGACTATAAATCCTGACTTTCTCTTCAATATATTTTGAAAACAGTAAGTAATAATTAGACTGAAAAGAAAACAGTACAGTAGTAATATTATGGTAAAAGGATCGCTTACCTTGCCTAACGATTACTGGCAAGGAATCGATGCCACAAGAGATCACGTGGTTAGGAATGGAATTGCCTTCATTTGATTCCTTGTGTTGGTTCACATCAAATTGTGATACTGAAGATGAAATAAAGATGTTCAAAATTAAACTGAATTTTGCAGATGGTAAGAATTATATTTTATTAGTGTTTATGAGTTTGAGAAAATTTGTGTTAGTCAACACATTACAAACAATTGAGCGGGGCAATGTAATACAAAAGTAGGTACCAAAGAAACCCTTGAAAAGAATGTAGTAATATTATGAATAATAAACTAACGATCGCTTTTTAACTCCTCAAGGGTGCTCTTCAAGCAATCATTCAGCCGTTTCTGAGTTGACACAAGTTGCATGTTAACCAGCCAAAACTGTGTCGAGTACGTTTGTATCTGGATTGCACTTAAATACACGGCAACGAACACACACGAAGGGTATGTCACTGCAATAACACCTTTGCATTAATAATCGATACCGGTATTGTACTAGCTTGTCCTTATTGTGGTACGTACATCCTGTTTTCTTTTTACGTACTCTAATGCATTTCATTTAGCGTTTGAGGAAGAAGAAAGAAATCCCTTTCTTCCTAATACTGGTGGTCCAACAATATTAGTGCTATATAAACCAAGGTTAGGGGGTTCGGGATATTCGGCAATAACTAATTCGGGTTAAAGTATAGAACAGCTTGAGTTTATCAGAATCCTGATCTATTCAAGCTATTCTGTGTAAGTAATATCTCTTTTCTACTGTTGCTTCCATTTCCTGTCTACTTTTCTTTTCAAAATACTTCAAAATACCAATTTCCTCATCTAATCACTATACTGCATACCTGTAACATGTGCAGTTATTAAATCCGAGAAGTATACACCGTATTCGAAACTCACGGCGTAGTATCCAAAGACCAGGGTGGCGATAACTATAAGAAACATTGTTCTCTCGTTGGACTTAGATGGCCGAAGAAAACCATCGATTTCAGCATTTATCTGTAAATTATGTATGTTATATATAGTATAGTGTCATGAATAAGTGAATTATTATTGACAAAAAAGGCGTAAATTTACCGACATACTTTTTGTTTGATTGTAGCAAAAATGCAACCATGCACGGGATTATGATATTGCACCAACTTAATTTTATTTTATTCAATAAAAAAGTGGTCTTAAACTGCTTTTAATTTTAATCTTTTATTTTTTGCCATAAATGCTGGAAACGCTACATGCCATATTGCTCAATCCTTATGCTATAATGTCGACAGTAAAAGCATGTTATTTTAATTGAAGATTCAATTATTTAATTAGATAGTGTTTTGTTTTTGTGAAATTGTGGTAGTATATGGCGCCACGGGTAAACTGAAAATTCGTACATTTTTCGATTATGAGTTCCTAACGTTAAAATACCGCTGCGAGTAAAACATGAAACATTAATGACGTGTACTGGCCTACACTGCTTGCATAAACACAGCCCATTATTAATCTGGAAATTATGAGTTGAAGAACGTGTCTCGCGGTCGGCCGGTAACTATAGCCGACAACGACGAATTGAAGGCGATATTAGAAGCGGACCCAAATCTGAAAAATAAAAAGATGAGCAAGAACATCAGCGACTATCAGCGAGACTTACGCGTCGAAACATGCATAGCACTACAAAATCGGCATAGAAACGAGGAAATTCCGAATAGAATTTCGATCGAACTTGCGATGAAAAGTGGATCCTGTAGGACAACCGTAAGCGTACGTCTCAGTGTTTAGACCCGGGTACAGCAACCAATCAGTGCGCTAAAAAGATTACCCAAAGGATGACGATGGTGACTGTCTGGTGGATAAGTGCCAGATTTGTACATCACAGCTTCTTACCAAATGGCACAACCTTGGTTTATTGCCAAGAATTGCAAACAAGGATGGAACAGAAGCTCGCAATTCACCAACCACGATTGGTCAATCGCTCTTCCTCATTGCTTCTCCACGACAAAGCGTGAGCTTACACTTAACCACAGACCATCGCAAAGCTACAAGAGTTACAGCTGGAAGCTCTCCGTACTCACCGGACCCTCCTCCAACAGATTTCTACTTTTTTTTTTAAATTTTGACAATTTTTTAAGTGGGAAAAAAATCAACACCCGATACAGTAGCAGGCCAGCAGACTACTACATTAAAGGGATAAACAAACTGCAATCAAAATAGTAAAATTGAATAGATCGCTTTTTTTATAGCTTAGCTTGAAGATAGTCTACTATCAACAAATGTTAATAAAACAAAATTCCTATGGTTTAGTAAAACTATGGCGTCTTCTCCGAAAATACTCCATCTTCGCGTTCATTGTTATCCTCCTAAACGTTCAAAAATCAAATTTTCTGCACGTTGCAGTTGTCCCGAGCTATCGACAACCGTAATCAAATATTTAGGGGTGCATTTCGACGACAAATCAATCTGAAAAAAAAAAACACAAATACAGATAGTAATCGACTAAAGCAGCTTATTTTTAAGGATGTACGAATTATACCCGACACTACACTTTTAATGCAAACATACAAAGAATTAGCTGTAAATGTTCGTGGGGCTCAGCAGCAAAGGCACACTTGATTAAAGAACGAAAGATCACAACGGACTGTACTTATAGTACTCCTTTTCTTACCATTCACACACCACACTCAGGGCGGCATGAGGCGCTGGTAAGCGCGCCTGCACCACCCTTTTTGTCGCCGGCGAATTGGGTCCTAGTGGAGAATATCCACTCGGACTAGCTTCCAGCACTCAGGGAAACCTCCTGAGACGGCCTGCCATATGGTTGAGGTCTAGGGCCAGCAATCGGGCCGGTATTTCGTTTGGCCTAGGGGCGGTCTTCTTTAAAACGGATCCATAGAACAGCCGCCCCTACCTCTGAATCCCGGACGGGCAGAACATCATCCCTGTTCTCCCTGTCGTTTTCGGCAAGGAGGCTATTGACGGAGCTGTGTGCTTCCGTTGCGGGAATAGGCCCTCTACTACATCTGCACGAAGCTGGGCTGGTGAGTCTACGTAAGGTTTGACCCGCGAGTTTTTGTCGCATCGTTCGATAAGGGTAACCCCAGGGGTCACGATCGAGACCCTCCAGCATCTCTTTTCTTTTCACGTCTAATGGCCAGCTTCAGAGTTTTTCTTTGGGGGACAAGTCCCTCCCCCCAACATATCCAGTGTGCAGGGAATGAGCCGCCGTAGAGCCAAGGACTGCCACGGAGCCGTCCCGGTCACCAAACCAGTTTCATAGAGATTCACAAGGGTTCAGGTTAGTCTGGACAAGGAGGTTGGAGACTTGGTCCATTACTGGATCGTCTCTACAACCTCCTCCATGGGCGACGGTGACGACGCCGAAGGCAGCCTGGGTCGACTGGCTAGCCCCCACATTTGCCGAGAATCGCGGGGAGGTTTGCAACCCCCTTGTCTGGGGGTCTGGTGATTGGCGGGCTTATTACCCGCCAATCACCAGATTGGAACAGACCAGGGGCCTTACTCTTGAATTCGATTCCGATCGATCGACATTGGAATTGTGAAGTTTCGTACTTTTGAATTCGACATTAGCGCCAAATTGAAATCAAATTGGGTGACGATTTGGAGAACTAACTGAAATCGAAATTACCAATCGCCACACGCAAACGGTACTCTTGAATTTTTTGACAGCTTGTTTGACAGCGATAAATTGAGTTCGTATCGTTTGGAGATTGGGATCTACTCAATATCAATAGCCGAAGTGTAACTTTTTTGAAATTGTTTCACGTTTCATGTGGTTTTAACTGAACTATAAGTGGATAATATGGCTCGTTTAGTAGTAATGTACAATATTTTACGTAAAACTAAAAAAAAATGTGTTAAAACTGAGACGCAATGAGCGTCGAATGATGCGATATACGGAGAAGGCGTTCTCTATAAGTGAGGAAGAATTTAAAGCCAATTACCGAGTGAGCAAATATTTATTTGAGGCAATTTCTGAATACATAAAGCCTTTTATGCCAACTCCTAAGAGAAGTGATAAACCACCGAAATATAAGGAATGTTAACCTTACACTTGTAAGGTGTACATACTTATTTTTTTGTGAGAAGATTAACTTAATATTTTCATCCAAATTGTAGATTTTAGCGACACTATCGTTTTTTGCGACTGGAAGTTACCAAAGGCTGGTTGGGGGCACATATGGCACTCTGATGTCGCAGCAATCTGTATCTCGTGCTATCAAAGAGGTTACAGCAGCTCTCAATCACCATTATGTTCAAAAACAATGGATTAGGTTTCCTCAAACCCACCAAGAAAGAGATGCTATTAAAGCAAGGTACTGTAAAAGTTCTACTTATCTAGAATACTGTAGAATATTGCTAAAAGTAGCCTAAAATATAGTATATGGAAGTAATTTTAGTTGAGACACCTTAGCTTTAAGCATGTAAATGTAGTGTAGTACTCCCTAAGTGTCTATTGTATGTATTAGGCTTATAACTATAATAAAAGTATTTTGAATTTGTATGTAATAGCTTTACTATAATAATATTAAGCAATACTTTGTTTCAGGTTTTATGAAAAATACCGGATCCCATCAGTATTAGGATGTATTGATGGCTCTCATGTGGCCATAATTAAACCAACAATTAGGGAACATGAGGAAAGATTTTTTATTTGCAAACATTTCCACTCTAGAAATGTTATGATTGTAAACACTTATTTTGATGAAATTTTTATCAACTAAATAACAATTTAGAGTACCTATAATTTAGTTCTATCTTTTTATTTATATTTACAGATATGTGATGCAGATTTAAAAATACTGTCAGTTGATGCATCCATTGGAGGAGCATCTCATGATAGTTTTGTTTGGAATCAAAGTTCTGTGAAACAACATTTAATTTATTTAAATAGTAATAATGAAGATGTTTTTTACTAGGTTAATATTATTATGAATAAAGTCAACTATTATGCATTCTTATTTTGTAAAACTATGTAATGATTAACATTTTTTAATTCTAACAACTTGTGTTAATATTTTAGTTTTTAAGGCAAATTTTATATGATGTTCTTTTATAATTTTATACTGCATTTATACTGCTATTTCTAACAAGATTTTATGTATTAATTTAATATATGTCAATATAAATGTCTTGGCCTATAATGGTATATTTTATTTTAAGTATAGTGACATTTCAATTTTAAAAAGTATTACAACTAAACAAATTTTCACAACACTGCTATATCAATCTTTCATATTGTATTTTTAGAGGTTATTGTTATTTGTTGCAATGAGCCAACTTGAGCAAATTCCATAGGAATGAGTAAAACTCAAAAAAAGTATCAGTTGCTTCGTAAAACCGAGGTTTAACTATTAAAGTTGTGTTTTAAGTGTTATGAGATTCTCGGTATTTGAGTTAGCCACTTTGTTTATTGCTTGGAAATAAAAAATATTCATGAAGTAAAAGTAAATAGCTATTAGACATGCACTCTGCATTTCCAATTACACTTATTTGCAATGAATACACAGTTAAATAAGGATAATAAAATTCCTGTATAGGTATATGACGTAAGTCATTAGTAAAATAATATCTAATAATATTAGTATACAATAACAATATAAAAATAAAATCAAGGGTCTGGCATTTCTTTACGGGCATCGCTAACTGACAGCAATGCTTCATCAATCTTTGCTTTCATAGTAGGCAATGGTATAATCACATACAGCCAATAGTGTAGGTTATTTTAAGATTAAAATAATTTGCTTGCAGAAAAATTAATTAATAACGTTGCAAATAATCAGCTGATCAATCGTTTTTGTAGTATTTATTTATTAGTCTTGTTTTGGACACGATTGACTATTTCAAAGCTTTACTCCTGTTTTATCGTAATGTGTTGAACAACTCTAATGCGGCGGTTACATAGCTAACTTCAAGTGTCACCGTAGTCATGGCAACGCAATCGCCGGCCGATACCAATTTCAATCCAATTTGACAATATTGTTTTCAAGAGTACCGATTATAGTGACATTGAAATTGAAATTGGAATTGGATTACTATTGGATTGAAATCGGAATCGAATTCAAGAGTAAGGCCGCAGACCAGAGTGAGGGGCAGCAGAGCATTACATAGTCCACTGCAGTCAAAACAACTTACACACTTGACGCGTGTGTGTCCCGATGCCAAACATTTAAAATACCTAGTGTTTACGAAACCGTGAGACCGGGGCGAATATGCCGACCCAGATGTTGTCCACGTTGCACCCTGTCTTGCACCTAGGTAATATAATAAACTTAATTTAAATTACAAAACCAGACATTTATCAAACTAGCAAATTTAATAAAAACGATCATAATATGGGTAAACAGTTTTCACTACGACGATGTATAATTTTATGGGTAGGAACTGATTTCCGATATACAACGTATACAGCTCACGCTAGTTTACGAATCAGCTTGCACTTGAATTGTATGCACTTTTTGTTACAACAAAGAATTTACTATTGTTATTACTTTGGTCTAGTACTTTGTTTATCCAAAAAAAAAGAAAAAAAATTAAAATTTTCATACAAATCAAATATAGGTAAACCTAATATTTTTCAAAGTTATTTGTTGCCAAACGTATTTCTGTATTAAGACAAAAATGACATTTGTATTGTGTTTAAATTTGATTTTGGTTAAATTAAAAAAAGTGTTACCCATTGAAGGCGCGCCTTACAGTCGATCATGTGACGCATGCGGTCAAGACCAGTGAATGCAATGGCGGCTCCGGACATCACGTGCACCACAAAGTAAATTATCAGTATTATGCGCATAAACCCAGTGTTGTGGGATGCCTCGTACCCATCCACCACTTCTTCTCGATCTATGGAGTAGATTCCTATACACACCGCTGAAAAATAACATGCTATAATTTTGCATGACTTAAATATACAAAATAGTATAATTCAATATTTAATTATTTAGCTAGAGCTACTGACGCCACGAATGGAAATCATATAAACACGTGAAATCTATTCGACAACACCACAAATTCTAATAAAGGTGTATGCTATAAATTGGGGCAAGTATATTTTATAAAATGCTAGCTTTTGCGCGACATCGTGGTCGTCATCAGACATCATAACATTTTAACAATTTTTGAGGATGAAGCTAAGATAACCAGACCGCGAGGTGAGGTCACACGAGAACACGCAACAGAAAATGCCCATGTGAAAAACAGTCCTGCCGCAAGTCGATTCCTGCAAAATTTCATGGTTTGGCCTTGTGCCTTATTTGTAGTCATGGCAAAGCATATTTATAGAGGAAACTGGAGGCGCTTACGTTCCAACGATAGATCATTAGGAATCAACGGTATACGCGGTACAAATATTATTTCTCCCTTGGCCGGCCCTGTCAATATAGTAGCTTTTACCAAAATCCGATGCACTTTAAAAAATAAAAATGATTTGATTCCATTAACTCAATCTAATTACAAAAATTATTTGAGCTCTTCTTTTAGACATAAAATTGTCTGTGTTAGGAGGCACCGCTCTTTCATATTTAGATAAGTATGGTTATTAAAGTATAGCATTCTTATTTATTCTTGGTGAATACAAATAAGAAAAGACTATAAGTACGAGTATATGATAACATGAAGAGTAGATCTGTTCGTATGTTAGTTTGATTGAGTGTAGGTGTGAGGCCGCGTGTGTGTTCGTGTATGTGCGCGCGCGTGTGTTTTCGTGTTTCTGGTGTGTCTTAGTGTGTGCGTATGTGTGAGTGTCTCTTAGCTCCTTATGTTAGTATTGCCATTAGAGATTCAGTTTTATCAAAAGTTAGTTATAGTAACTAATTTGTTAGAGCTTTCTTACAATTTTGCTTATTCAGCGGATGTATGTTTAATAGCCTATTTATTTTATTAGAGAAAAGAAAAGAGCATACATCCTTCCTCAAAGGCTGGCAACGCGCTTGTGACTCCTGAGTTGCAGGCGTTCATAGGCGGCGGTAGTCGCTTTAAATCAGGTTACACGTCTGCTCGTTTACCCCTATTCAGTAAAAAAAAAAAAAGACAAATGCCTGGTACACTGGTGACGAGCAAATGTACTTTTACAGGACCAAGTCACGTCTTCTTTTATTAAGCATCTCTTGATCGATATATATAGAGTATAGTAGTAGGAAACCACTATGGCTCGAAGTAAATTACTTTTAAAAGTGATCTCCAGCCCCTTAAATTTCAAACATTTTGTTTTCGTTGCACCACCGTAGACTGGAGTGCAACAGACTAATATAGATTCAAGTCAAGACAATCAATGGTCAATATTTGTGCCTAAATATTTATTGTATGTACTTTAGTTATTAAAGGATAATTGCAAATTATATTTTGACTGTTACAGTTGAGCACTTGCAGTCAAGTGCCATTGCATAATTTCGGTGGTTTTATATTCCAAAGTAACATTACAGGTGCACAAACGAGCAAGAACTTATGATATGGGAGACCTGCTGGATTAATAGTATTTAAAAACTCAACAGCATAGTGGACTACTTCGTCTGTTTTTACTACCATGTCTATTCTAGTCTAGTATACACTTTCTTTGCCTTGAAATTACTTCAAAAGGAGATCATTACTTAGAGCTGCTCGTTCATTGTTCGGTGTTAAAATAACTCGTTGTCGTGACCATTGCAATATTCCATTGCCTTATGAACGCTATGTTGGGATACATTTTTCATAATAAAATCATCTGCCCGAATCTTAAGCTTGTGGCACGTTCTAGGTTGCTGAATTAGTTACATAAATTCTTAACTCTATTTTATAACAACCCCATTTCATCACTTATAAGGGTAGTTTTGAAAAGTTTAAGTAATAGGTGTCTAACTACTATTATTTTTGAAAGAGAATAAAAGTATACTGAGAGTTTGGATCGATAAGATAATAAAAATTGTTCTCCATACAAACTTACACCACTTTTTAACAGTAGTTTCGAAAAATTTGTAGTAAAGAGTATTTTTTGTGACGCTACTACCAAAAATAACGAAGTTTCACAAAACTTCAGATCCCACCCTTAGGGGTGGAATTTTGAAAAATACTTCTTAGTGCACGTCACTTAAAAAAATAAAATTTGAATGAAATTACATGCTTTTAGACTCAGCGACTCAGCTGTGCGTTGCACAATTAGTCAGTGAATCGGTCTACGAGTTCCTTCTGTTATAGATATATATGTATTTTTCTCACTCAGGCACATCTAAAGGTTCAATATTTAAAGAGTATCTTACCTAAAATAACCTGCACTACACAGCCATAGACGTAGTAAAACATTGACACACGAACTCGCCAACCGTCGTCCCCTCTCTCAAACTCAACAGGCGAAGTTCCGGCAAGTCGTGATATTTGGAGGATAAAAAATAAGGTCCCAGATACTACACATTCCGTTCGAAGAGGTGTTAAATCCATGCTGTTGCGGCTGTAAGCAGAGCAATGAAATGTCTTGAAATAGCGATTGCAATAACATCTTATCAGTAATGCTCACATTTGTACTACGTAACGTCACCAACACGTGAGAGGCAACATATTAAATTCAACGACTTAACAGTAGATGTGCCATTTGGTTTTCAAACTTCGAACTTCTGCAGATAAAACGCTAAATTAAGATTTTTCCAATCAATAACATTTCTTTCGTTTCTATTTTAATAGATTCAATGCTTACAAGTTTACATTAGCACTTGCTTACATTAATATTACTTTACACAACGTAAGCTGTAATTTGTGTGTGTTTATAGTCACATCCAGAAAATGAGCTCGATATGTCACGAACTGTTCTCTGACTGAACTGCCGCTGAACATGTCAAGCTAAATGTCCTTAAAGTTTATTTGAATAAAGTTATTGTTATTGTGAGTCATGGGTCGTCCTTGATAAATGAAATGAACATATAGGTACATGAGCTTACTTGCTCCAAATATTTGTTGAATGTCATTAGTCACTAGTTGATTTTAAAATAAGGACACGTTATGTTTAATAGAAAACAGAGATCAGTCCTTACGAACACTGATAATACCACTGCCACCTGACGGACGTATATTGTGTGCCACAAAAATATACGTCTACCAAAAATTGACTTGCCACATTTTGATGGCAGCGTTCAGAGTTTGCCCGAGTTCAAGGACACGTAGATTTCCCTAATTCATAACAATAGTTGCAATGATAACATCATGAATTTTTTTTTTTTGCGATCATGTTTACGCCATAGTGCAGCTTTAAATGCCTGGAATGTGTTGTGTCACCGATATTATCATAATAATCACCTTCTTATACATAATCACGTACAAGCGTTGTTCAATTTACAACCATGTTTCAAAGGGTCTAGTAAAAGCTTACGTTACTTGATAGACGTTACTAATAAGAACATTCGAGCATTAAAAACGTCAAAACAACCGACGGAACATTGAGACACGCCAATTATCTTCACGATGTTCACGTCGTTCACGTTCACTATCGTTGATCTTCACGAAAACTAGATAACATCACAAGCCGTTACTTGGAAGAGCATGGTAATACATTATTAAAGCCTCCAACTTTAGATCAATTAATTAAATTTATAGGGGTTCAGATTAACTTATTAGAAAAATTAGAAGAGATAACGTGCCAGAGGGGAATGGATAACCAACTGATAAGTGGATCTACGTGTAAGTGTAAGTGGAAGTTGGATAGATCCCTGGAAAGAAAGACACACAGAATGCGTCATAGAAAAATAAGAAGCACAACCAAAACAATTGAGGCTTTAAAATATGCTCAAAGGTTGAAATTCAAGTGGGCTGGCCACGTGGCACAGCACAATAGACATTTGTCGCGCATGTCATTGTCCTGTTGAAAGCCTCAGACATATAATTTCCGCTTGTTCTCGTGTTGCCAGCGGCGAGTACTTGCATAGACATAACCAAGTGGCGATTCGGCATTCTTTGTACCGATATTCATATCAGCCCATGAATTAATTGCTAAGAGCCTCGATCAACATCTTCAGAGGCTCGCCGTAGGCAGTTGGATTAAGGGCCTGATGCAGAAAGTAATTCTTCTCGATACTGCACTTATTATGAGGAGATTTCTGTCTTTGGAGTCCTAACCCTTGGTCTTCGTCCCTGTGCCCGATACCAATGGGACACTATTTTTTTTTTAAATGTCTATTTAAAAAAAAAACACTATTTTTAAAATGTCATTTAAGGTATATTTAATGAAATAAAGAGAATAGTAATAATAATAATACATTTTTATTGATATAGCCATTGTTACATTATACATAGGACCCTGATTCCTGTGGTAGGTTACAACCTGTGTTACAGGAAACAGTGTCTTCACCCATTTTGTTGTATCAACTATACAATAAGAATAAAGTTAAGAGTGTGTGAATGTGTGTGTGTGTGTGTGTGTGTATGTGTGTGTGTGTGTGTGTGTGTGTGTGTGTGTGTGTGTGTGTGATGGCCGTGCTCATTGTACCAAGTTTTCGGTTTGTGTGTAGTCGAGCGTTAGTAGCCATGATTTAAAGGTCACTTTTTGTCAGTGAATTAATGAGCAGAGTTTTGTTCATTTTGTTATACATGCGTGTAGCTAGGTATAAGCATTGACGTCTTGCTGATGCAGATCTACATTTTCAAGGTTTGCAAACTTTGTTAATAGTACGCTTATTTTTGTTTTCGTGATTAATCGGTGTATCTTTGTGTTGCAAAGTTGTTATATTGAGAACAAACAATTGTCTTATTGTAAGTAGTTTATAATTTTCATACAGTGACTTTGTTGGGAATCGGTGTGGTTCAAAAGTCATAACCTCAAGCAGCGATCTTTGGGCTCTTTCTAGATGAATCATATAGGTATTGCAGGCCTTCTAGGGTATACCTGGTTCCCCGGCTATTAGTACCCGAGACGTGCGGTTTTAGTCGGTTCGAGTCCGACATGCCACCGACAGGTGGTATCCGAGTTGATTTCCGCACGGAAAAAAAAAAAAAAAAAGTTTTGCAGGCCTCTCCCCATATCGTTATACAGTAACTAATGATCGATTGCGCTAGTGCAAAATAAATGGATCAGATTAACCTTGTGGTAGTTTGTGCAATATGTGGACGCCAGTTCAAGTTTGCGTCAAGTGCATATCCCAAATATCTTACTGTACTTTTTTGAGATAGTAATGGACCATGGATATTATGCGTATAGCCTAAGCGTTACCTCTGGAGAAATTTACCTAAATTGTACAAACAAGGTCTTTGAGATATTTAGGGTAAGTAAGTTATTTTCCAACAAATTACTAATTTTTCGAAGGCCGAGATCAGCAGTTTTCGTCACCTTCTTAGGTTTCGCCATGAAATTCGCCATGAAATACAATATACAAGTTTACAGTCCCTTGAAGCTGTGAAAAAATCAAACGTCTAAGTTAACGTAAAAAAAGAGATACGGCCGTTTACACTTTCGACACTCAAGGGAATTAAAATTTATAGGGTATTTTCCGTTGACCTGGAACTATGAAATTTTGCAAGCAATACCGTCTTATACTACAAGTATAGGGAAAGATCTGAAAACTATACATTTGTAATTAAATCATCAAAAACAGGGTCTTTATGCAAGGAACGGCAGTCCAAATTTTGAATTGAGTCAACCGTGTCATGTGGGGTAAAGCTTGTGCTTAAACAGATTTTTTATTATTTTTATTATGTATACTTTTTTGATTTATGACGAAGAATGAAAAAAGTACCTACAAATTTGTACTGAACCCTCTGTAGTCCGACTAGCACTTGTCTGGTTTTTTTAAGCATTAAAAATTGTGAAATTAACAAAACCAAACAAACCAAAACAAGGATAGACAATCTAAAACGTTTTTTTGACATAAAGAACCTAAAGAATAGAGAATATTGCCTCTCTGTCACGGACGGTGCGACACAGGCTTTCAACATTTTACAGATTAGTCTTACAAATTTAATAATTCGAGTCTTGTTATAATATTTTAATAAAGTTTTAAATAGTGATATTGGCATTTTAACCCAATTTTGTACGATAGCACGGAATTGTGAGAGTCCACTTGACCTTTCATTGGTGTTTTACGTTAATATTACAAATGAATAACTACAGAGAGATAAGTGATGACGCCCGTCCATACCTGAAACACATAACACATTGTTTCGTTAACATCTTTGGTAAAATATAGTAAAACAACTGTTTTTATTGCGAAATATAAGCTTCATTGATCAATCTAAAATTGTCCGCCTATATCATTCTGTTTTTATGAGTAAAGGAGAAGACGGGTCTCCTGTCATAGGCGGATGTATTCCGACTCCGACCTAACCGAGGCTCTTTATCGAACGTGGAAGCAAAATTGAATTGGTTTTTAATTGGATGTTCTTTACATCTCCTACCATCGCTACATTATTGAACGTAATACTCACCATAATCAAAATATTTCTATTAAATAACATCAACTTGAGCGGAGCAAAGCGTACAGGGTTGAGCTGGATGTGTCTGTAAAACATTTTGAGTTGGTCCGAAACTTGTGCGGCTTCCCTGTGCGTGTGGCGCCTCATCTGGCGGATCAGTCTCCTCGTCATCCACAACTGCAGAGAGTATATATGCAATTATTAACTATACCAAACGTTCAGGGTTTCTAAGAGAATGTACTTTGAGCAACAAACAAATTAGACTGTGTAACATTTACTTTGTGTGAAACTACCTTTCTGTTGTATAGGAATAGGAACAAGAATACTTTTGTAATTATTATAACTAATCTTTGGTAATAATTTAATAATATTTTTTACAACATTTAATTATTAAGAAATAACAATAACGAAACGATTATATAACGAAAATAACTCCTTTTAATTTTGGTTATCGACTTCATCTCGTATTTCACTTTGACAGGTTACTATAAAATATTGATGGTTAACATATAAAGGTAAAGAACGGTACTGTAAAGAAACTATTTTAGTATAGTATTTTATATTTTTGATGGTAAGTATTTCTCGTCTTTATGTTTAAAGTCAAAAGGAATAAAAGTACAACTACTACATTTAAATTTTTGTATTTTGCTTTGATCAAGTAATCCTACGTACCCACCTTTTTTTTTTTTTTTTAACGCGGGGAATGCTTTTCGCACCATACCCTCCGTTGGGGAAACGCAGGGCGTGTGTGGGACTCCCGGAGAACCGGTCTACCCACTAAACCCCGCGGCGGCCTACCTCGGCAGTCAGGAGGAGCTCCAGGAACGCATCGGCGGCTTCTGGAGTCCTCCCTGCCGTACCCCATGTCTGAGGCACATCCCGGGGTGACTGTAGTCACCCTAGGGCGGGAGGCTGTCGCGCCTTTCACTACTCTATGCAGTAGGAGGCGCAACAGCGCCCCGCCATGGACAAAACCCCCCGGCCGCACCGGAGTGTCGTCTGTCTCGGGTCGTTTGCAGCGGCCACATAGCCCCAAGATGTTGCCGCAGCGACCCTTAAGCGGCGATTGGGAAGCTAACGACCTCTGCCGCTGCCCCTTCGTCGCCTCCTTCTGGAGCATAACGTCCTCGCAGAAAGAGACCGCGGCTGCCCATCCCTCGCCACTAGCCAGCATTGCCGAGATCAATGCTGGCGGTGACAGGTTTCGTCCGATCTGTCCGACCAAGACTTGACGTTCGGACTCCCACGCAGGGCAGTCCTCCAACGTGTACTGGGCGGAGTCCCGGTCGGACCCGCAATGGTGGCATTGTGCCGTGACCTCCCGTCCAATTCGATTCAGATACTCACCGAAGCAACCGTGCCCGGTGAGCACCTGAGTCAATCGGTAGGTGACACAGTCGTTCCTCCCTACCCACGCTTCGAAGCTCGGCAGAACGGCTCCGACTGCGCGTTGGCTAGCACAGCCCTGGATTTCGAGCCGTGCCTGCCAGGTCCGCAGAGCCTGCGTATGTGCGTTCCGCCTTAGCATTCCGGGATCATGATCTGGCGCGGCCCCTTCACCATTCCGACCGACTGAGCGAACTATGTCATAGACCATCGCGTCCATGTCTGCCAGAATGTCGAAGGGTGGATATCGCGCCAGGACCGTTTCCGCCTCAAACGAGATCGTACGATAACCCCGTACGATCCGTATGGCCATCAACCGCTGCAGGCTTCTAAGTAGAGCTCCGCAGCGGGAGGCACACGCCAAGTCTTTAGCCCAGACGGGCGCCCCATAAAGGACCATGGATCGCACGACGCCCATATAGAGACGGCGAACTTCTTCCCGTGCTCCCCCGAGATTGGGCAGCAGGCGATGCAGCGCACCCACTACCCCGCGCACTCGGGGGACTAATCGCTCGAAATGCTCTTCGAAGCGCCACCGACTGTCCAGGATGAGGCCTAAGTACCTCATGTACCGGTCAACTTGGACTTCAGCGTCACCAACCCGGAGGTATGAGCTGGGTGGTTCCTGGCGCTTACGCAGGCCATGGAACCATATCGCCTCAGTTTTCTGAGGCTCCACTCTCAGACCCAGCTCATGAATCTTTCCCACGACACAAGCCACCCCCTGCTCGGCGAGCCGAAGCACCTCATCGAAGTGTGACCCTCTAGCCAGTATTAACGTATCGTCAGCATAGCAGACGACACTGAGGCCAGAGGGCAGACTGGTGCGAAAGACCACATCATATGCGAGGTTCCATAACAAAGGGCCCAAAACAGAGCCCTGGGGAACCCCGCAATACACCTCTCTCCGATTTTCCACCTCGTTCCGACCGATAAACTTCACCGTCCTGTCGCGCAGATAGGCCCCAATGACGTCCCGCAGGTAGAGCAGCACCTAGTGAAATTCAAGGGCCGCCCTTATCGCCTGCCAGGGGAGGGTGCCGAACGCGTTGACGATATCAAGGCTAACCGCCAATGCCACCCCCCCCGATCGTGCTGCCAACTCCGACATGGAGCGAACGCATTTGATAGCGTCCACTGTCGAACGCCCCCGTCGGAATCCAAACTGGCAGTCCGACAAATTAGGGCCCACTCGCGACAGGTGCTCGCCGATACGATCGGAGATAACCCTTTCAAAGAGTTTCCCCGACTCGTTCAGCAGGCATATCGGTCGGAACGCAGAGGGAGAATCTGCAGTCCTTCCTTCCTTTTTTAAAAGCACCAGTCTCGCTTCTTTCCAGCCGAGGGGGAAGACACCGAGGCTAAGACAATTAGTCAAAATCCGCCTCAGTTTGTCCCCCAGTACCGACAGAGCTATCACCAGCGCGCGACCTGGAACACCATCAGGTCCGGGCGCAGTGTTGAGGGAAGCCAGCCGCCGTACGACTCGGTCTAGCTCTGCCTCCGTCGTCTCATACTCGCTGGACCAGAGTTGCCGGTCCGATTGTGTCGGCAGGATTAAGGGACTGTCTTGGACCCTTGGGAAGAGCGTGTCTACCACTCTTCCTAGAAACTCCGGGTCCAGGGTTTCCGTCAACGGAGGGACCCATGGTTTTAACTTGCCCAGTACAATTTTGTACGGGCGCCCTCATGGGTCCCTATCCAGTCCCCCGATGAGTTCTTTCCAGGACCGAGCCTTAGCCTCAGCGATTGCATCGCTGAGAGCCGTTACAGCAGCTCCATATTCTCGCCGTGTACGTCGATCTTCTCGACTGTGGCTCGCCGTCTTCTCCGGGCTCGAAGGTACGGGCGGCGCAATCTCGCGACTGTCATTCTCAGCTGTGAGATCTCCGCGCTCCTCCAGCAAGCCGAGCCCTTTCTGGCGGGCCTACGTACCCACCTAAATCGTGTAAACTAACACTGTTTCCAGTATTTGAATCGGTTAACATCGATTTTAATAAGCAGCACTCACCTGAATATGACTTCGGTGACAGGCGTCGACGGTAATCGCAAGCGTGACAATACAGAGCAAACACCACATTAGCCAAGACAATATCTTGGCAACAGGGGCCGCGCTGTGCATACGTACTGAAATAAAATAGTAATGTTCGGCTCATATGCCATCTATCTTCAAACTTCCATAAGAAGGAATAAGATCAGTTCAAGATCAGTACGAGTACAATATATCAGGTAACAGATGAGTCACAATTCGTTATCATCATCGTCATTTTCGGACTTTTTTCCAACCTTATTTTGGGGTCGGCGCAATTTTGCAGAGAGTTTTATTGACCTGACGTTAACCTTTCTTATAAATGTAATCGTTGGGAGTAAGGGAACTAGAGTAAGGGATACCTTCTCCAAGCCTGGGATGGGAACGAGAATTGTTACTGTAATAGCTCTTGGAGGCTGGAGTCACGCACCTCTACTCTGCGTATTGGAGGGGTATAAGGAACATAAACTGACCGTTGAGTGTTACAAATATTTGGTATTTCCTAAGCCTGGTTGTTTAAATATAACGGAAAGATATTTTTCCTCAAACACACATCATTTGTGCAAGTAACTTTATTATTTATTTTCATTTTATTGTTATATGCTTTCGTTTTTTAAAGTGTGACATTCCATGACTCTTTATCTCATCAGGACAAACTGCAAAATGAAAATAGCAAACTCAAAGTAAATTACACCACCAGGGAGTAAGCCTTTAAACTGTATTGCCATGGCCTTAACCTTAAGATTGTTCTCCAAAACTTTGATATATTTTGAAACCTTTTAAAACAACATTTGATTGCACTCGAGTATATAGACACCTAACTTTAACGTGCGCAAAGCACGTCTTAGAAACTTAATTATACCTTTAGTCATGTTAAAACTTAATGCTGATTACTGTCTTACTAATCTTAGATACTAAAGAGAAGGCTAAAACCTCGTTTGTAAGGAGAGCTCTATGTCCAGTAGTGGACTATCAAAGGCTGCTGCTGATGATGGTGTATGTGTAGTCTTAGATGTTTAGACTAGTATCTTACATATTATAGCTACTGCGAAATATGGTGCAGTCAACAATTCTATGAATATAAACAGAAGCATCAATAGAAGAGCGAAGCCGTTACTGTCATTCAACTGTCTTATGATCCCACACATGGAACAGTACGCTTCTATCAATCTCTCTAATGTAGCGGGGTCGGTTTTTAAACCTGCAACAGAGAAATAAGTGACAACTGGTTTTCAAATATTTATGGTAAGTGTCAAGCAATCTCGTTGCATTTCATCGAGTGAGTATGGTTACCGAAGGCTTAAGTTTCCCTCCTAACTGTGGGGGAGCAGGGCGTATTTCAAATGATGACGACACACTTATGTCACTTGAGTTGTATGTAGTGAAGGGTCCAGCATATGCAAGATGTAAATAAAATAAGATGTAAGTTTTTTCGGTCAAAAATCATAATGTGTATAGGTAAGGCGTTTAACAAAATTTTTTACAGTGTTTTTGCAAAGCCATCTAAATCAGATTCCACAGGAACAGACCCTACATAAACCTCTAATTTTGGACCTGACTCTGTTTATGGCTTATCTAACTTAAATATCACTGATGACGCAGTGCAAAGCATCCTACGCACATTAGACAATGCAAAAGGTCCCGGCAAAGACGGTCTACCTGCTGTTTTCTCCTACGTTGTTCGTATAGTTCAGCACACCCAATAGCGTTTTTACGAGTATTTAATAGGTCTTTAGTTGAGTGTGCATTTCCATCTAAGTGAAAGGATGTTCATATAGTTCCGGTGCACAAGAAAGGTGCTAAATCAAACGTTAAAAACTGTCGACCCATATCAATTCTGCTCAGCCAAGATCTTAAAAAGATTGTGCACAGAAGTGTTAGTGTCAGCATGAATTCATTAAAGAGCGGTTCAGAGTGTCCAATTTAGCCGTGCTAGTAGTGGAAGCGTGTATGTCCGTACGGTTTAGGAGTATTGCTATTCTGTCTGGTCATTATATACTGTTTATATTGCAAGGAGTTTATGGACAATGTTCGTATGATTCCCTAACTTTAAATGTAGGAAGCACCATGATTCCTACTCCATTGACAGTAAACACCATCACCTGCTTTCTCTCAATGATAGACGTACGATGCTGGATATGTTGCTACTTATTGATATTCTACGAAGGTTGTGAGCTACTTTCAACTGCGGAATAGAGTACGCGGAAATCACGGTCTAGACATACGCATTTTTGTTTAACATACCTACCCGTCTTACCAATAATGGGGAAAATGCTGTTATGTCCCGACTAGTTCGCATATACACTGAAAGATTTGAAAGTATAGACATATTTCGTATGTCGAAGAAACCGTGAAAGTACTCACTAGTTATTAGTTTATAATTTGTTTTGTTTAGTTTTTGTAATAGTTTCTGTTTTTTTCCGTTTCTTTAAGATTTTTTAAATATTTCTACTGTTTAGTTATAGTGCAAACAAAAATGTCATGAAATTCTGTTATTAGCTTAAGCAAATAACTAGGTGTGAAATGTAAATAATCTGTTGAGTTTTTTATTAACTTAATTAATAAATAACACTTACCGTTGTTTGTTCGTCGTTTAACGTTTACTGGCAATGAGTCGATGGCGCAAGAAATCACGTGGTTAGGGATTGGATTGCCTTCATTCGATTTTGTTTCTTCGTTCACATGTGCAAATTCAAAAGATTGTGGTACTGAAGAGGAGTTCTAGAATTATTATTTCATTGCATTTTGTAAGGGATAAGATTTTTGTTTTAAAGCAGTTTTCCAGTAAATATTTATGATAGTCAACACACGACAAATAATTAAGCGGAGAAATCTAATATAAGCAGTTGAGTAAAAACAAATTATTGTGAATAAAACTCTCGAAAACAAAGTTATACTGAATAGTCAACTAACAATCGCTTTTTAACTCCTCAAGGATGCTCTCCAAGCAATCGTTCAGTCGTTTTTGAGTTGACACCAGTTGCATGATAACCAGCCAGAATTGTGTCGAATAAGTGTGTATCTGGAGTAAGCTTAAATACACGGCAACGTGGGCACACGAATGGTATGTCACTGCAATAATACATTTGCGTTATGTCAAAGGCTGACACTGTATTCGTTTCTCTTTTTTAAGAAAAATATTTCTTGTCTTCTTTATACTTACAGTAATCCATTGACATTTAGTATTTGAGAAGGGAGGAATGCAGAGAGAGATACAAAGAATGTGAGATATTGGATCGGGCTATACAGAGGGCTCGAACTTGCCTACACTAGCTATTCTGTGTAAGCAATATCCCTTTCATACCATTGCCTTACTCGTATTTTCTGTCCCTTTCGACATACTCTTGCTTTTACCATCTGCATTGATATTCTTTAAAGATAAACCTTGCGTAGAGCGCTAGCACAGCGTCGAGTTTTAAACTAACTTAGTTTGAAATTGGACGCTGTGACGTCACTGTTGATCGTTAAACTGCCCAGTTGACGGCATTAGTCTTGCACCTGACTTATAGAGTTGGCAAAATGTGGGTGTTTAATACATCTCTACTTGCCCCTCTGGGGAGTATCGGGGTATAAGTTTGAGTGTATGTACGTATTCATACCTGTAACATGTGCATATAGTAAATCCGAGATGTATACACCGTATTCGAAACTCACGGCATAGTATCCAAAGACCAAGATAGCTATAATTATAAGAAACATGGTTCTCTCGTTCGACTTAGATGGTCGAAGTAGACCATCGATTTCAGCATTTATCTGTGAATTACAACTTATGTAGCTTATGTATATAGAAAGGTGCCATGAATTAGTGATTTTTACAATAGAGTTGCGTGATTATATTTGCTTTTTGTTTGATTTCAGCAAAAAGTGCAGCCGTGAATGGGGACAGGGAATTCCAATCTTTTGCAAAAATACATTAGATTTAAGCCCAAGCCAGCCAGTGAACTCTTGTTAAATTTAATTCAATCAATAAGGCACTTTAAATTTTATACCTTAATTTTCGTTCATTCACAATTCATAAATATTGCGATTTTGCTTAATTGAAATGGATTTTTTCTAATGTTTTAATTTAATAATATATTTGAAAAAAAAGTGTTACCCATTGAAGGCGCGCCTTACAGTCGATCATGTGACGCATGCGGTCAAGACCAGTGAATGCAATGGCGGCTCCGGACATCACGTGCACCACAAAGTAAATTATCAGTATTATGCGCATAAACCCAGTGTTGTGGGATGCCTCGTACCCATCCACTATATTGTCTCTATCCATGACAAAGATACCTATGCCCACCGCTGAAAAATAAACCGGTAGCTATTACATGTGTTAAATATGCAAAATAGTATGATTGATATTAAGAATTGTACGGAGGAGAGCTATGCTTGCAATATTTAGGTTTGTTGACGTGTTTTGTTGACACAACATTTAGGGCGGCTCGACCAGAGTGATACCACGGTTTCACAGAAAACTGGTGCTAAGCAATTATTTATTTTCTTTTAACGGTGTTTCCCTCCTTCCTCCATTACTTGCACGTGTCCATGGACGGCGGTAGTCACTTACCATCTGGTGACTCTTAAGCTCGTTTGGTCCACACCATAAAAATTGTTACTAACGCCATGGGTGGAAATCATTCTAACAACACCTCAAGTTCTATCAAAAGTTTAAGGTATATACAGGCACATCTGAAGGATCTATGTTTAAAGGGTCTCTTACCTAAAACAATCTGAACCACACAACAATAGATGTAGTAAATCAATGATACACAGATTCGCCAACCACCGTTCACTCTCTCAAACTTAACAGGCGAAGTACCGGCTAGCCGTGATATTAGGAGGACAAAATATAAGGTCCCAGACACCACACATTCCGTTTCAAGATCCGTTGCATCCACCATGTTGTGACTGTAATTTTTTTTAAATTGTGATTCTATGTGAATCTCACATTTACACTACGGTAACTTTAATTTTTGCTATACAGACTATGCGTCTACAGACGTTACCGGCAATTTCAATGGCAAAAATATCTGTTATGAACCATTCTCGGACCCCACTACCGCTGTAAAACCGACCTACCTACAAGTCAGGTCCTTTGAAGTTTATTTGAATAACGTTATTTGTTCAGCGCTAATATTATTATGATCGACTCCATGATAAATTAAATGAAAAGATATAACTGGATACTTGAGCTTATTTGCTCAAAATATCCGTTGAATGTAATTTGTCACTAACTGGTTACGGAATAAGCACGCATTTCACCTGACGGTAAACAGATATAAATCCTTATAAATAGGTACCAACAGTGAGTGCAAACGCGGTGATGTCGGCTCACGATCTTATATATTTTTTTATCGTTGTGTTTGCTACTGTCTTATCGCTTATTTTATTTTGAGCGTTTTTATATACGCTTAAATAACAAGCATGTTATATTAATAAAAAATAATCCGTTACCTCAATATATTTTCTACAGCGCTCTGGAAAAAGTTAAACCGACCTTAATGAGTTTCATCACACATCACATCACATCAACAGCCTTTAATAGTCCACTGCTGGATATAGGCCTATCCTCTTAATGAGTTTCGGTAATGTTAAATGCAAGCAAGCAGTGTTTTACATCTATTTTTTCATCTTGCAAGAAGGATACTCTTCTAAACTGCGCCGTAGCCCTCTGTCCTTCGTCCTCAGCATCCAATCCAAACCCCAGCTAACTTTTTTAGTCCATCTGGCTGTGAAGCGTCCTTCCTGACGTTTACCGATTTGTGGTCTTTAAAGACACGGTTGCTCCGATGGCCATCGTTCCTCCGCCAGATATGGCTAGACCTTTGCCATTTCAGCATGCTAATTCCACGAGCTCTGTTTGTAACTTTGTTTATTTGTCAGATAGCCTCATTACGATTTTTAATCTTCAAAGAAACTAAGCAATGCTCGCCTAATTGTGGACTAGACCGTTAGAACCCACGTCTCGACACATGACAGGTAGGACGCACTTCAAAAGGCAAACATAATTCTAAATAATTTTGGTTGTAGACTCGATATGAATTGGTCTAAGTAGGAAATTTTCATTGAACCTTGATTTTGCTCAAATTTATACCAAGACGCTCATTTAAGTCTTGCTGCTATGACGGTGTCATCCGCAAATCGGTGTATAAATATATATAAATATATATACATAAATGTCCTCGCCATTTATATCTCCGGTCTAGTACAATCCAGTAATCTATTTGAAACCCAGCTTAATATAATAGATGGCATTCGTTAATTTTTTTAGGAAGACAGTTTGTGATAACCCTGGAAAACAACTTGTAGATATGGGTCAGAAGTAAGATGAGTCTGTAGTGTTCCGCCAAGATCTAGTTGCCTTTTTTTTTAAAAGTGTTTAAAGTGTTGCTCAATTGCGAAATAAAAAGATTCGCTAGCTCTTTTAGGATTTAAAACCCACACGCTTACGGCGAAACATTTGGATAACTGTTTACTCCGTTTTACTATTAAATTCTGACAGTTATTGCCAGTTTTTAACCGACTTCAAAAAAAGGAGGAGGTTCTCAATTCGACTGTATTTTTTTTTTTTTTTTTTTGTATATTTGTTACGCGATTACTCCGGCAATTATAAACCGATTTGAATAATTCTTTTTTTATTTGGTAGGTCATACGTCAGAGGTGGTCCCATTGTCACCAGGTCAGGATCTGATGATGGGATCCTGGGGAAATCGAGGGAAACCCTCAAATTTTGTAGGCATATACACTGTTTATCAGAAATTATCTTAATCTATGTAGATTTTTGCATCTAATGGTCACCATCTGATGTTGCTGAGCTGATGATGAAGCTGTTGATGAATGGTTTAGGAGTATGGGATCTCTGTAACAAAATTATGTAATACCATCGAATTTGAATGTGTTTGAGTTTAATTAATAAGAACTCTGAACTCCGAACTCCTATGTGATATTCAGGGTCTGATGATGGAGACGGTAAATAGCCAGGCACCGACTTCAAACTGACTAGAAGGGACTATTGGTATTATAATGTTACCTGTTACATTGAGGGTACTTATTATAGTTTTTTACTTAGATTTGTAATTATTTTTTAATTTTTAGTGCTCTTTGTCGGTGTTTTTTGAAGTCGGTTCAACTTTTTTTTTAAAAAGGGTTTTCCTACTTTATTTTTAAAGGAAACCCTGAATGTTTAACGTAATAATAAAATATAGTAAAACATTAAAATATTACCTGTATTAATTTGATAAATACCAATATTTTCATTAAAACGTTTAGCCTTCAGGCATACATTACAATAGTTTTACACGAATCGTGTATCGTGAAAATTAGTTTCAAGTTCTTAAAGGGACAATGACTATGTCTAACGTCATAAAAATAAATGCAAAACCAATGAATATATTCTTGAAAGTTATAACTAAACGAAGTATACAAAGAGGCGTTTTATTTTAAAAAGCATAATCTAAGTCATCCGTGTGGTGACGGATTAAGAATACAGGGTGTCACCACCCCTATTCATCCCGTGAGTGTCGTAAGAGGCGACTAAGGGAGCGAAATACGCAGGACAACAGCACTGCAGAGAAAAGGAAAACTTGACACAACCCCTATACCAACGTCTGGCCAGCGTGGTATAGTAGGCCGAAACCTCCTTTCTAAGTAGAGGCCTATGTCCAGCAGTGGACTGTTAAAGGCTGTTGATGAATCTAAGTCATTCTGTCAGCACTTTCCAGCTGAACATGTGGTTGACCATATTTCATTCTGTAAAGAATTTAGTGTTTCAGAGGCACGAATGTCTGACACTTTATATTTTATTTTATTTTGTTATATATATGTTATACTGTTCATATTTTTATGTTAAAGCTGTTGGTTTTCCTTCAAATAAATTGTGTATTGCGACATGTGTGCAAACATTGTAATGTTCTGCGATGCTAACGTACTGTACTGGCCGCAGTCACGTGTCTCTCAACGCCACTAAAAGAGAAAAGGGGCTGATGGAACAGAATCGAAATAGTGGTAGACAAATAAATAGTTCTATGATCGACATTACACTATATTGCATTTGGTATAACTTTAGTATTACAAAAATATGGTTATGTTCTATTTTAACACCTTGTCTAAATTTCTCTAACACCGTTCTTCAAAATATGACGTTGCAGTGTTGTCAGAGTGGCTCTGTATCGGCACCATCGTAATACTTGGATGTTATTATTGATATATTAATGATCTGTAGGTATTGTATAAAGTTACATTACACTTTATTGCGTTTCATAAAGTCTTTGCAACATTGTTGGATATTGTCTATGTGGACACTTTGATCATGGGTTTAAAAGATATACTTTAACTGATCGACATAGTGGATGGTCCTAATTGGGAACTCGAATAGCGTCAGTCAGGACATACTAATGCCAGTACCTAAGATAAAATTTCAATGATATAATACTTATACGTAATGAAAACGATATAATATATGAAAATAGTCCCAACATCATTGTCAGTTCAGTACAGTAGAGTACGTTATTGCTGTTATAATTCATTTGACGAGGGGCACAGAACATAGCGTGTAAGTCACACGCTATGTTAATTAAAGCAACGAGGTGTACAAAGTGGCACTTCTTATTTTATAGTTTGATTTGGTTCACCATAACTATCTGCCATCCATTGACATCTGCATCAGTCACAAATGTGTCGGCCCGCCTTTGAGTGCTAACTACAAATATTATCTATGAATTAAATTTTAATATTTTATTTACATTTTTCTAATTTTTTTCCATCTGCCTCTGCGAGAGAAGATAAAGGAAAAGGTAAAGGAGCGCCTACAAAATTAATATTAGCTAAAAATATCATTTGTCCATCTTAAACGGTTACTTTTGTTTCGTGCAAAAAGTACATAATTTATCTCGTGTAAAAGAACAATGGCAGAAACATATTTACCTAAAACTTAAGCGTTCAAAAAATCGAGTCACAGTAACCTTAATCAATATTTTTTCTATAATTTATCATTACACCACCATGTGTTGCATAAGTCTTATAAAAGATCGGATATTTTTGAAGATTTTATTTGACCTAAGTACGTAATGTCAGATTTGCCATCACGTATAACTTACTAGGAATGCGTGGTGGCAAGATTATATTGTGAAACGTTTTATCGATAATCGATTCTTATAGCTTTGGCTGAAATATCTAGTGAAAGTTCACCTATTATGATTATGAATTTGTTTCTGCCCACGGCTTCACTCGTACGGTAGTGTGACTGAATCAACATAATTAGAAATAATTTAGAATATTTTTGACTCTCTTTAAACGATTTTAAACACACTAAAGAAATAGAATATAGTTACTTTATTTTCCGACATAAAAATATACACTACACAGTGTGATGAGAAAAATACGAGTACATTGTCATTGATAAATAGGCATAGATCGATATTTTCAAATTGTCGATACCTCGTCGTTTAGATTCTGTCAAGTTCCGGACTCACCACGTTTGTTATTTTATTTTTGTTCAATTTAGTGTTAAACTCGCATAGCTGTTATGGTTTTCTGTTTTTTATTTCATATAGTGTTACTCTATTATGCATGATGTGACGCCTTTAAATGTTGTGCATTAATCTCAATATAGTGGATGAATGCTTTAGATTTTAGTAAATAATGTAGCAACTACTAGCTGTCCAATAAGTAAATAAATTGCTTCTGCCTTGTATAAATGTGTATTGAAGTACAATTATTCGAACTATTATTTATTATTGATTTATTTATTTATAGCTGGTATTACACCTACTTGGTAAGCGAAGACTTTTTCTATTGTTTTACCATGTATTGGTAAAATAACCTCCACCCTCTTAGGGAGTCGGCTAACACATTCAACAGCAAAATAGGATTGTTGTTAATTGTTTATTTTATTTTTGAATAT